TCGCCGCTGTCGCTCTCGGCCGAGAAGACTCAGAGCATCTTGGCATGGAGAAGTCCGGTTTCATTGTTGATCCCATCCAGTTTTCAACTTGAGATGTGCCAGCGTCAAGGCCCGGGAGCCTGTCTTGTGCAGTGGCCAGATATTTCAGTGAGGGCGTGCCGGTTCAGGAGCAGCTCTACGTCGCCTGCGAGCTGGTTGTTGTGTATAGGCTGTCAGAGAAGGGGCTTGTCTGAGCACCAGGAGACGGTGATGGCACGTTGGATTTCCAGGGAGAAGGCGTGGTCTCTGTTGCTACACACTGTGACGTCACCAAAGGCCCCTTGTGTCTGGGGAGTCGTGAGGACCCGCCGCTGGCGTCCGTGCCCTAGTCCCAGAAGGGAACTGTCAGGGCAGGCCTTGCTTTGCACCCACAATCACTTACGGATGTCGGCTCGCCGGTGAAATCCGTTTCTGCACAACTGATTTGCAACTGTGGGCAAGTTAGGCTACATGGCTTTGCCAGTAAGGAAAAATAGGAATCTTTAGGAGATTGACTCATGGTTTAACTTCCAGGAATTTTCTTGACACGTGCAAGCCGGCTCTCCTCCTATTGGGAACAATACGATTTTTGAAAGAGCGCAGTGCCTGACCCCTCGTAGGCTCCATCAAGGTGGCAGTCAGAGGTGCCTGGCGGTGCCCTGGTGCTCTGCACGCCTCCGCAGGCTCCTTGCCCGCCGGGTGCAGGGGTCGCAGCCGGTGCAGGGAGGTGAGTGGGGTGGGATGTGCAAGGCGCTCGGCACTCCCTCCCTAGAGAAGCGCAAGGGAGGAAGATGGTGCTGATTGCCCATCTCACAGCAAACATCGGATTTATGTTGGACCCTCGCAAGTCCTAGAGCTCACCTTCCAGCCAAGACAGCGGCCTTTCTATAATTTGTGGGGTTTTTTCTCCCTGAGTCTTTTAAGTCTTTTTTTTTAATGTCCATTTTTATAGATTAGGGCTCCTCCAGTAAGTAAGACCCTGGCTATTCTCCAGAACGGGTTAGCGTCCCCTTGCCCTTCATAAAAGCCTGTGGGATACAGCAATGAAATGCACCCGGCCAGTTAGATACCTACCACGTTGCTAAACTCCCAGGGCGCCGGCTCCCTGTGCCAGCTCCACACCCGTTCCAGCCCTGGGAGCCCGGTGCACTTCTCAGCCCGGCCGCCTGTGCGTCTCCTAGGTGCCTGCGCAGAACCACTTCCTGCCGCCTCAGCACCTCCATCCGGGGCTGCCTGGCTCCTCACAGCAGGGCTGTGTCCTGGCTCAGGAGCCACAGAGAGCTTGAGGAGTCGCTGGAAGGAACCACGGGGAGAAGATTGTTGGTAGAACTTTTAGAGAGATTGCGTCTGCCCCAGCATGTAAACGTCAGTCCTGAAAATTAGCAGGATTTTGTCGAAAGCACCATCCAGGGCTGGCCCACTAGAGAAATGCTCCCGGCTGCTGGGACCGGAATGGGCCCCACTGGAGGAGACCTGAGCCTGGAGCCAGGCAGCAGGCTTCTCTGGGGCCGATCACACGCTGCAGGGGCAGGGGCTCGCCGCACGCACAGGCCTTCCTGTCTGCTCTCCGTGTGGGGAGGAGCGTTTGCCCAGTCAAACCATCGAAGGCCATTTTGATATTGTCTCCATGTTTTGCATTTAAGTTTTTATTCACATAGGATCTACTTTGCTCCAACGAAAACTATTGCAGTTTCTTTAGTAGAGAACTTTTTCAGCAAAGCACCCGGTGCTTAGACCTCATTTCCAATATGTCCACGGCCAAACGAATCCACATGTGCATCAAGTTTAAACCCACCTTGATGGTGTAGGCAGAGCACGCCCAGCGGTGTGGGGGGACACGGGTGGGGGAGAGCGTGGTGCGGCCACATTTCCTCCAGCCGGGGTGGCTCTGGGGCAGCCGAGGGAAGGGAGGATTTTGTTCACATTAGATTTGCTTTTCCATCCCCATCTTCTGAATGTCCACATCTCCCAATCTTTCTGAAATTTAACAACTGTCTCCAGCGATGCCCCAGGCAGCAGCTCTCAGAAATTTCAGAAGCGCAGAGGAGACGTAAGCCTGGGACTAAAGAACTAAAGGCGGAATTGTGGGAGCCGGGTTTAGCTCAGCATGGAGCTCTTCCCCAAATCTGAGCTGCCCAACAGTGAGCGGCAGACGTGGGGCTCAGCAGCTCCCTGTTAGTGGGGATGGGCTGTGCTCCCTCCAAATCCTTGCCACAGCCTCTTTGGAGTAGGTTTTGTGCTGGCTAGACAGACGGGTGGACTGGAAGACGTCTATGTTGCTTTCAGGCTCTTTTAGATTGTTATGGTCGCATAAAATCTCCATCTGCCCTGGAAACCTCCCAGCTGCCACCATCACCCGCCCTTCCGAGTGGTTCTCTTCGCTGCAGCACAACCCTCCACAGCCTGCGGGTCTGGATGTCAGCATCCCCACGAACCAGCCCCGCTTAGAAATCGGCACAGCAGGTTCCCGTGGGCACAACCGCAACCTTGCCGAATGTCTCCTTTCTCCATCCATACTTACAGACGCTCCAAAGACCACAGCGTTTCAGAGTCACTTCTCGTTATAATCTGCACAATTGCCAAATGGTTGCCATGATAGATATGATGGCCTGCATTCACTTTATTCTATATCATTAATTACGTTTAGAAGAAGTTCAT